AGTGGGATCCTTTTTCAGCAGGTTCTTTCAAACCTGGCCTCATTTTTATTGTTTCCTCGTATCTCAACTTTTCCAGTAAAAAGGTATTCTAAATTCTCAGATTACAACTACTCTGACAATGCCAGCAGCCTCCAACAACAAGCAGTAGTATTGCTGTCACCTAAATACTGAGTGCCTGTCTTAGTAAAGGGAAACTTCGGGTCATGGGCCTCATAACGTGAAATGTATCTCATCCTGAAAAGGATAAGAGATCATATAAAGTTATCATACCCTGAAGTCAGTGAGATCATACTATACAAGGGATAACTGGGTAGGAAAAGGCCACTAGCATTTTTAGGTTAACAAAAACTCATACTCTTCTTGAAGAAGGAAGGTTTAACTGGACAAAACTCTTGCAACATTTTGTCTCTTAGCTAACAGGAGAGTTTATAATACACACCTGTGGTTCAAGCACTGTTTGTTAATGCTGATACAGTTATGTGACATCAGTTTGGGACTTTTAAATAGATTTCACTCTACATACATATATAAGAGTTAGTTAAAAGCAGATTCCATTAAATAATGAAGAACTGCAATACTTCTAGGAGGAGAAATAAAACTACAAAAGCTACGCAAAATAGGTAGTGCCAAATCGTACTAGACTTCATTACAGATTCCAGGTGCTTCTGGTCTGCATGCTCACAGTTTAAGTCTTATCTCAAAATATTTTATTTTGCCTTCATATACTGTAAAATAGCATTAGCGTGTTATTCAAAAAACACACAATATAATGACTACACAGCATGAGTACAACGTTTAGCATAGCTTTTTTTTAACCTGCTTAAGCCAAAAAACTTAAGTCAGCTAGTGGAAGAGTACACTGAAGAAATAGCGTCTTTATGTATGTCTTCAATTGCTATTAAAAGGCCTGAAGGTTGTTAAATCTTTCTGACAGTATCCTTCAACAAAATCAGTATAAGGAAAATCTGACCATCTAGATTTAATTAGTTAATGCACAAGTTGGTTTTTGTCCACTAGAAGTAAAAGGCGTTTGTGGATCTATTAAAAACAGGAAGGAAAAAAGAAGCAAGATCCACCACATTTTCAGGTGTTCCTTTACATATCACAAAGTGTTAAAGATGCAAGTAATTTTTTGGTTTGTTTAACTTTACAGATAACACTTGAGTTTAGAGAGCTGTTTACAAGAGCTTGGCAAGTGCAATTCCGCAATAATGTGCTGTTCTTCATTCCCCAAAAGGATTTAAAAAACAAAAAGGAAAAAAGAAAGAAAGAAATCCTGAGTTGCTCAAATTGCAAACACTAAAACCTTTTGCCAAGCCATATCGCCCTACAGTTTCTTGAGATCACTTACAGTAAGAACAATTTCTCGGATGATCTTCACATAAAGCGTCACATAGTCTTTGATATAGACTTCTCTGTCAGCATAAGGTATGGAGAACCAGTTGCTTGCAATTGCTGCTTCATTTTCATTGTTACCACTCCATACAATAATTGACGGATGGGATTTTAAACGCCTTACCTGAAATACAACTTACAGTTTCAGAAGTCAAGCAAAATTACTTCTCTCAAAAATAAACAAAAAAATAAAATCACTTCATTACTACTTGGATCATAAGTCCACATGCGTATTGCATACACTGAGCCTACAACTCCTGTTTTTATCTGCACTGCTCACTATTCCCTCAGCTCTCCTCCAGGCTCAAACTTTTGCAAAACACACTTACAGAGGGGCAGACTTCTAATATGCTGACATATATCCACCATATGCACATATGTACCTCCACCCTAATCTACTCAGACACATGCGAAGGGTAAATTCTGTGCTAAGGCATGTTGCAATCATTAGAGCTCACTCTCAGTGAATGCTTGTAAACATCCTTGAGAAGAGGCCAGTTTGGACACAAGGAAGGCCTGTACCCTCTGCTTGACTGACTACTCCTGCGTGTAAGTTAAAGAGGATTTAGCAAGGTTATATTTTGTATCTGCTACATCAGGGTACACTAACAAACACTTCTAAATAAGCATTTTTTGAAAGCTAACTTACACAGTCAGTCAATCAAAAACAGGTAGTGGGAAATACAGCTTTGACACATGGACAAAATACCTGATGAGAAACTTCTGCTCTTACAGAATCTAAGTAATTCTGGTCAGTTGGATATAGCGCACATGCAAACATAAAATCCTGCCAAATCTACAGAGAAAAGGAAAGAAAATACAAAAAAAAAAAAAAAATAAAAAAATCTGTTAGCAAATCATTTTACATACTTGAAAAATAAACGGGTATTGGAATGCACAATCCTTTGTTCAGACAGAAGTTATTTATCTCAAAAAGAATTAAACTGAAATGTTCTATTTGTTATTCTTGGAAAGTACCACCAAAACAATCACATCCTCCATGGGGTTCAGTACGTACATACTCTACTGTGGTTTTCCTCAATATCAGATTTATAAAATATTTACCCTTAGGAATCAGATCCTCACAGCCTCACTGATGAGTGGAATATTGCTCAGTACACAGAGTTCAAGAAGTTTCAATGGAATAATTAGAACCCATGCGCTGCTCAAATGTTAACGTGGGCCAATCTCCAGCTGAACAGAACAATTTTGTATTTTACTACTTTGCAAATGTAACACCAAATCCTGATTACTTATTAAAAAGAGACAGTAATTCTTCTGATGTGGTATTGAGCACACTTAACAGATGTTCCAAGTGTACTTGTTAACAAAACACTTCCATACCAAATCTGCAAACTGATCTTAAAAAGAGCAGATCTTACCCAGTAAGAGGGGCAGAAACAAACTAGATCTTCTAACAACACAGTGATTTTTCTCTGCAAAGAAAAATCAAGTAGATACCACTAGAGAACACCAAGCATTTCAATTCAACAATGAACTCCATTTGTACCTTGAAGAAGAAGGTACAAAAAAGGGGAAAGGAAGAAGCCAAACGATGTAGGCAAGATCTCATTTTACCTGTTCTGTTTTTTAAATTGCTGTAACTTTGAGACTCCTGATAGAGTCTCAAATGTTAATGAAAAGATCTCTTGAAGGACCACATTAACCCACAGGGGTCTGTAGGAGACTATACTTTTCTGAACACCATACTATATAAATAGAGCAAGCCAGACCAGCTTCTCATACAATTGCATTTTCTTTGCAGAGAGAACATGCTTTTCCAGAACTCTTTTCAGCATACGTTCCCAAGAAAACTGAAGATAGGGAACAGTGGGAGGTAATGGGTCCATTAATAGTTGTTACACTCCCAGCACTGTACAGAAAAAAGCAAAGCTGTTGCTGAAGAATCACTCAGAATGCCTCAGTGACTGTGTGGAGTCAAAACTCTCAATTGAAAGAAACTTTTGCTATTTCCCTCAGCGAGCTATCGCTGTTTTTCCTTAAGCACAGTTTGACTCTAATTCACTTTTAAGCCTTTGAAAGACCATCAGAAGAAACAAAACCAAAAGCCTCCAGCACCACCCCCTCCAGAATAAGGGTCTGATTTTCTGCATCTACTTGCTATTTTGGCTGCTAAATAAGATCTTAAATCTTGCATTGAGCACTGTACAGTCACAGATCTAAGTGGCCTACTTAGGTGCCTAGTGTCAAAAATGAAGGAACTGTAAGTGCTCAGAAGCCCTGAAATCAGGGCACTCATTCAGATGACTAAAATAGACGTAACTTTTTTTTTCCAAGCACACACAGCAGAAGGCAGCAAGGTATCAATTCTGTTTCCCTGCTTTTTATGCTGTAAAGTAAGACCAAATACACTTCTTGGGATTTTAATACCAGAAACAACTTGGCCTTCACCCACCTAGTGACTATTTCATCAAAACTTATTAATGTGTGCCTCCAAGCTCATATAATCAAAGGTACTCATCTAGGATTATCAGCGTTTGCAGCAGGTGTTCCCCTTACAGCTACATTTATACTCAATTATAGCTTGTTCAAAGTGGCCCTCCGGATAAGGCCTTCCATGGTTGGCTTCAGGCCAAGTGAAATATTTTTGTTTAAAAAGTTTGAAGCAAAAAGAGAAACCCAAACCTTTTCAGCTATTGCTATAAAAGAGAAAATACTTTTAAAAGAAATAAAATCCATTTCCACAGCAGAGAAAAGCATGACTACCTTCTTTGGTGTTTTGAGAACTCTGAGGTGGTTGAAAGCCCAAAACTCAAATACAGCAGGCCTTAAATCCTCATTGAGGTCAGATTGCAAGGCCTTTGCTCTCAATCTGGGGGATACAGTCAAGCACTCGGATTCTTCAGCATGGCTATTCTCACATAAGTAAGCCCTAAACACAGCTACAGGGCCCCACAGTCTGGCTGCTGTGGAAAAACTATTTGATCTTGTTAATAACCCCCCTCTCATGCACTATTTGTTCCACAACCGTTTGACTGAGTGTTGCAAGTGCCTGTTGATGCCTACAGTCCACAAGTTCTTCTATTGTGCTCACCAACAGAGTGTAAACATCATCCTGCATTAAGTGACATCACTAGTACCAGTCCCTCAGCTGTTCATTTCTTCTCTCATTCTTTACCAAGAGAGTAGGAAATGTAAACTGGGAGAGAGGTGCAGTATATAAAAGATGAGAGTTTTGGTCTGAAAAGAGCTAGAAGACAGCAAGTTAAAGCCATAGTCCTGCTGCTCTGATTGTGGGAAATGTAAGTGAGGGTGGGGGAGGGGGCATGGAAAAGACAGTGGGTAGAAAAGGAAGGGGAGATGAAGAGGAGATTCTGGGCTGGGAAGTAGGGATGAGCAAGGAACAGAGTTGTAGCCTTAGTTACAAGAAAAAATACAAGCTGAAGTTCTAATATAAAGTCTCCGAAGTATCACTTCCAGTTTCAACAGACAGCCTCAATAGTCAGTAACCACTCAAATTAAAAAGAAATTAAAAAAACAAAACAAAACAAAAACCAGGTTGATCTGAGTTCTCAGCTTGGTACTCCACCACGTCCTTTGGAAAGGTGGCTAGAACTTATGTATTAATTCTCTTATTTTGATCATTTAGAGTGGATTTTTATTTACAAGTTCTTGTCAGTTTTTTAAATACGTGCTCTGTGTTTATTGTTTTTACCATTATTCCTAGTTCATCGCAAATATCATAAAATTCATCTTGTTCATATACTCCTCCTCCCCAAACCCGAAGTGCATTCATGTTAGCATCTGCTGCAGACTTCAAGAGTAGCCATAATCTGTCAAATACAAAAAGAAGATCTATGTAAGTTTTGTGAAACTGTATCACTTAGGAGTTTCTAAGGTTATAGCAAAAAAAAAAAACCAACAACCCAACCCCAAACATTCATCATTAGCAGGCAATCCAAGACTTATAACTCTGATAGAAACCAGACTATTTTGATACCTTTTAAGCCTGCATGTCTGGGCTGAGCTCTCAAAAAGCAATTTTTTTTTGTATGAAAAAGTTACTTGGTCCTGTTAACGCTTATGAAATGGATGGAGTGACACATGCAAGTAAGTGTTTTTACAGAAGTATTGGCAGGACCAGATTTAGAAATACTATATTTTATTAAACAGGTTGCTCTTTTCTCCTTAGAGATTACTTGCTTTAAATATCAATCACTTGAATTCAAATCCTCTTTTAAACATGTTCAGAAACCTATATTCTCCTCCTGAGTTCCACAATGCATACTGAGAAGGGGCGGGGGGGGGGGGGGGAGAAAGACTGAGACTCTGAATCTCATTATAAGAGATTCAGGCTGCATTAATTTTTCCTGAATCATGCTGGCAAGTCTCTAAATTGCATATGAATGCATACTACAGCATGCCCTATTGTCCCAGTTCCCCAAGTACCCAGAGCAAAGTTTAGGCAAAGTACAACGTGGCCCCCATCCCACCTGCCTCTCTGGGGTGTTGCATCATTGAAATCCAAGAATCCTGGACCAGAGGGGAAAAAAAGTAGAGAGAGGCTACTATGCACTTATGTCTCCCTGCACGAGATGGGTTAGGACATGGGTGAAGTGGACTTCCCCTGAGTACCAATGAACGTGTCCTAGGCAATATGATCAGACAGCCTGAGGATCATCACTAAAAACACAGGAAAGGCCAGCAACCTCTCAACAGCAAACTACAACATTCCCATCAGTTAATGTACTTACATGCCTTGAACATCACTCAAACCTATTAATATTAATTAAGCCGTAATTCTGAGGCCTCCAACCCACAACAGTTAGTGTCCTACCTTGAAAGGAGTTCCACCTCCCAATGCCACCCATTGATAGAGGGCAGATAAAAAAAAAAAATCAAGAGGAGGAAAACATGATGGTTTCTCTTTAGAGAACATCAAATGTGGCTTACGTGTCATAGGTGACTCTGTCCTGGAAAGAATCTGCTGGAATCCAGTTCGAGCCCTTGATGAAAATGGGTCGGCCATTGATTCTAAAGTAGAAACTCAGACCTGGTGAGCCAGGAATAGGCTCCTGAACAAGTTCTACTGTCCGAAAATAGGCCTGTGAAAACATGAAACTTTGGTTTAAAGCAGACAAAAGTTAATTAAAACAAAATAAATCACAAAAACCATTACAAAAGGGATTCAACTGAACACTAGCAGCTTAGAATTTGTCAAGGAGTCAAAAGACACGGTCTCATCTCTAAATTCATGCTTGATTAAAACACACTGTAACAGGGCTAAAAAGAATCCTTCTGATAAACCTGTTCACTTTTTAAAGTTGCTACCATATTAAGAGAGAGAGAGCGAAAGCATGTGCACATATATACAGGTATAAGAGACAGGTGCATGTTTGCTGCAGAATTCAGTCAGAAGCCCAGCTTAGGACCAGTAAGAGGAATGAAGCGGTTGCATTTAATCTGCAATTTTCTCCTTAGAGATGCAGACTACAGCAGGTCAGCTGCAAGTCTTGTCCCTGAATGCCTAGCTACAGGTTCATCCAGTAAAAGCAAAATCTTCTTTTGTTGTCCTGAAATGATACTTTTTAGTAGGTGTAGCAATTAAACAGAGAAAGACATGCATGCAAACACAAATGCTGGTTTGGAAGTGAAGGGCCCTCTGGCCATTGCAGCTGTGTTTGAACAGCAATAAGATTTTAGAGAGACCAGTTCAGCTAAATAACCGCTAACTCTGTGTAAGGTATTAAAGGTCATTCCAGATAAATGCACATCTCAAGCAGAAGTCAAACTTTCACAGCTGCTCTTTCAGCCCAATATCTGGTATTGTGTACTGTGGACACTGAAAAAGAAACCATTCCTTCTTCCTGCTGCAGGTGGAAGAACAGTTCTCAAGAAGTTATGGACATTTTCTGGGACTTTACTTCAGTCAATGCAACAATGCTGCTCTGAGGGGCATCCTGATTGCCCTAAGATAAACACAGCCAATTCCATAGTCATGAGAGAGCAGTTAGTTGACTGCAATAATAGTTTGCACTAACCCCTTATTTGTACAGGTGTCTTCCCCACCTGCCATGGGGCAGATGCCATGTTAGGCTCCTGCACAGCTGCAAAGTGTTACAGAAAACAAGTCTTTCAGGGAGACTGTAGACTTTTTCTCCTGCATCCTTGTTCCAGTTCAACTTCTCTAGACCAGAAAGCAAACTTTTTCTTTCTGGTACCTGTTGCTCATCATCATAGGGAGATAATTAGGAAATTAAATAAAGTGAAGGAAAGCTAACAGGAAATTTCAGCCAACTCACATGAAGCAACAAGTTTGGGTCAGGAGGGCAGGAACCTCATTTTCTAGACTACCCCAAAGCTAGCAATCACTCCGCCCTCAAACGACTATTTGCTATACCTTTTCAAAAGGTCAGCTAGTAGAGCACAGCCTGTTCTCGCTTTGCCACAACCTATAGTTGAGACAAGTATCTGTCAGTAAATCAGGCTAAAATTAACCTGGTTAAGTGATATACATAATTCTTTATTTCACACACCAGAAAAGGCTGAAGTTTAAATGGAAAATGACTAATCCCACTATGAAACTGTGGTTTTTAAGCTTTCAGCTCATCAAAAATCATACAGATAGAAAATTATTTCTAGTGGTAGAGAAGACAAAGGTCTGTTTTTTTTTTTTCTTCCTCTTTAGTACTTCTTAGTCAATTGAACAATTATTAGACACCTGGACAGAGACAACAGACATGACAAACTAGATGTATGAGCGAAGACTGCAGATCAGTGACCTCAAACTAAACCCCTCTGCATCATGGTAATGACCAAAACATAGAAACTGAATGAATTAAAAAAAAAAAAAAAGGGGGGAGGGACTTGCCCCAAGTCCTTCAGTGTTTTACAGTGTTGCCCTAGGGGCAACAGTGGATTAGTGGCAAATGGGGCTCAGCATCAGTACCACTGAAGAAATTCCCAGCTAGAGACAAACTACCAAGTCAGACCACTGAGAAGACATTTCAGACTCTCTGTCCAGTATCTCTGTGCACATACATGTGCTGAGGACAGCATGCCCTGCCTTTTTTCTACTGTGATCCCACTGCACACTGGTCAGTTGAATATAGACCAGCGTGAAGAACTTAGCTTTAGGACTACAGTCTTACACCCATTCCTAGAATTATGCAGATTTATTTTTATGTGAGAAGTTGAATTAAAAAAAATAACCAGTATCTTTTATTGTTACCCTAACTACTGAAGGCTACAAAAGAAAAACTACATTACGAGTACTACACTAGCAAAAAAATTCTGACCTTCCTCCAGTGAATTCAATTACTTGGAGAAAAACTCCTCAGTCTCCAGTGTAGCTCTTTTTTGTGGCACAAAATGGAACGGGATTTACAGTTGGTGCTCCCAAAGTATTTGGGAGGTCCTCTTAATGGATGTCATCAGGCAGGTTGGGACTGTCTCAGAGTGCATTTGTAATGGGGTATTTATATTACTAACAGAAGTAATGCGATATTGCTTTATTCATGCTCAAGTGGAACTCATGCAACTGGCCAAACCCAAGGCAATCTGAGAGGCTGAAACACCCAGCCAGGACCACCCATACAGCATGAGCAAGAGGAAAAGCTCCTCAGCCCCATCTCACATTCCCAGGCCTCCAGGGTTTGGTGCCTTTGTGTTCCCACTCCATTGCCCCCCAGAGGCCCACCTGATAATACAGCACCTCTTCCTTTTCCTACAGCAGCTTCCTTCTGCCTTGTGGGGTGAAAGAAGGGCAAGGGGAGACAGCTAGCATCTGGCATGCTTGGTTATGTGCCTTTCTGGCTACAGAGACCTTGGCCACCTTGAAATCTGTTTGACAGACCTTGCTGCCTGAGCACTGAACATTTCTCTCAATCTTGGAGCACACAGAAGAGGCTCTCTAGCCACCACAGACTAATCAGCGGGTTCTGTACACAATTAAGAAACAGATACCCATCTTTCTGAGTCGCATACAAAGGCTTTGTACCCAGTTAAGTGACCTGTGGATCACATTTGGCATTCCCAGATTTAGCAGTAGTAAAAGTAACAGGGATGAAGATGCCCAGAGCTGAAATAAGATCACAGAGCGCCCCAGTGACCTAACAAATTAGCACACAGCATGAAAGCAGTGTGAAAACTATGAAGCCAAAAGGAAAGACTTCTGGAAGTCATGCTAAAAGGCCTGTGGGGAAAAGAGGGTGTAGGGGGAAGGAGGGAAAGACAGCTAGAGGTTAAGATCTTCCAAGTACTAAAACAGCCTCATGAAATAAAAAAACTCCAGTTACAGTGTTGAAGAAATAAGCGTACAGAAAGATGGGGAAACAGAATTGAAAAGCAAACAAATGCTTCACAAGGCAAGAAAAGAGGTAATGAATTCCTTGATGTAGGCATGGCAAGAAGAAAAGCAAGTTACCAATAGCAAACAGGACCGGACAGACCCTCCCCTCAAGAAAAACAATTTCATTCTGAGAATTTCTGGCTATGACTTTGTTTCACATTCACCTGACAAACAAACTCTAAACCAAAGTATTCAAATAGAAAAACTAAACAAACCCCAAACGAACCCTGTCCTGGATGCTTGCTTTATTCCATTTTATTTTTCTGTTACTCTCAACAGGAGTGAGTAGGGACTTCCCTTAGTCAAGGAGGTTCCCAGCACAGCTGGCTAGGGCTCTATAGAGCTCCTGCAAGTACATACTGGGAGGCTACCCAGAAATTTTCCCAAAGGATTAGTTAATGTTTTGGAGACTACTCTAACATGTCAGAAACCAGACAGTAAGTTCAAGCTAAGGGTAGCCGAACGTGACATAAAACCAAGCTGTGTTTTCTCACATATACAGTTCTTGCCCTTTAGTTTTCACCTGTCCAAAGTTAGGTAGATAATCATATGGAGACAAACCACTTGTGAAATGTCCCACCCCTATTTTATTTTTTGTTTGTTTGTTTTTTAAAAGCAGGGGCAGGGCAAGCAGGAAACTTATTCCACCTGAATACAGCACTAGGTGGACAACAGAACAACTTTGAGGAACATTTATCCCTGAATCTGACTCCGGAACTACTCAAAATTCTTATTAAGCTGTATGAATGTTGCTATTCAGTCCTGCTGACATGAGAGCAAATTGTGCTAGAACATGAAAAAACCACGTATGGAGCCTTTTTCCACTCATACAGCTCAGGGTGGTGGCGTGTGTGTGTCAGAATGCAAGACAGAGCTTCACAGAACACATGAAGGAAGACTACACTTTACACTGTGAATCTGTGAAGGTTTCATATGCTGGTTAGTTTATAATGCCCACTATGCGGTGTATTGGCTTCCCCCCCCCGCCCTTTCCTCTTAAAGATAGAAAAGAAGAGGCTTCTGAATATCTTTTGTAGACCAAGAAGACCCTATGATCATACGCCACAGGGCTCTATGAAATATCCTGATGCAACTACCCAAGTGGAATCAATTAGTTTTCCTATCATTGTGCAGTTTTCACACAGTAACAACAGATTTTTCCTTTTTACAGACTTTATAGCCATATTTCCTACAACGAGTTTTTCCAAGCATAATATGCCATGTTTATTTGGTGTGGGTATTTTAATTGTTTCAAAATTAAACTGCTAATAATAGAGAAGTATTATTATTATGACTACATAATCAAACTAAGAGCTAGCCCTATAAAGATTAGGGCTCCAGAAGCTACTGCTTTTCATAGGATTTTTCACATGAACAAATGTTACAGCAAATAGCAGTTTTAGATGCCTGGTGACCAGACTAGTTTTTAGTGAAGCAATGCACATCACAACCACCTAATAAATGTGTACATTTACTTGGTTGTTTCCACATGCTGATGGCATAAGGAGCCCAGTCTAATTTGTATGATTTTTTTTTTCCAATGGACAATTGAAAATTACCTCTTCTAGGTTTCTTAGCAAAAACAAACAGAAAATTATACAGCAGTGTGTTGCAGGAACCCTTATGCAAATATCTCTGAATATTACTTTCATGGTCATATTTAGGATGTTATCTCTTCTTAAACCTGAAACACATCTATCACATTGTAATAAATTAACGTACGTTAGCTTTTTAGGAACGTGTCTATCCCACAAATTCTTTAAAAATTTAATTAACAAGAAAAATCTCAGTAATAAACCTTCACATAATCTACAGAAATCTAAAAGGGTTTTTCAGTGCATGATACAAAAACATTAGCCTGACATATCATGTCTAAAAGTGGTTTTTTTCATAAGATAGAAAACTGAAGTAAACATCTTTTCCTGTCTGAGGCTTCCAACTAACTGTAAACAACTTCCAATCTAAAAGCAAGTAAAGGCATCCATACAAGCCAGGGCTACCAGAAAACAGGTAAACATACACTGTGACATTAAAAACCCCCTTGTTTCTCATTAGCATTTTCACATGCATATTACAATCCCGCAAATTATTTAAGAGCTATTCCTGCTATGTATAGCAGATGCCCTAACAGTAGCAGTGCAATGCCAGCTGTAACCAAGCTGAAGGGCTCACCTTTGAAAATCTCTCAATCTGGTATCCTGCCTCCATGATGAAAGTTGTTGTCACATTGTATCCACTCTGCTTTCCATGTCCATTTGGCCACCAAGTCTCCACTGTAGAACTCTTGAACATCAGACCAGAACATCAGAGAAAGTCAGACCAATGTGTATAAAAAGAGGTATAACATACACCTAGGGGATCAGATATGTTTGATTGAATTACCACAAGTCTAATGAGTTTATGTGCCTCAGCTGAGCCATGGTAACTGGGATATCGCCAGCTGTAGCTTTCAGGTGGAAATTATTTAAAGAGAGAAGTACGATTTCTTCCACTGAAGTCCAGACTATCACTTAATCTTGTGTCCATAGTAGGCCATGAGCACACATACACATGCATGTGCACGTCTAGCTGCTACCCTTCACCTGAGGTAGATTGGCAGAATATTACTCCAAAACTCAAATATCTGTGTCAGGAGCAAATATCATCCACTAGCCTGTGTATCATACCCCTCCTCTCATTGGCCCTTTTACCTATCATGTTCAACATTCAATATATAGAGTTGACAATTTTCAGTTGTGACTTTGGTAATATGTGACCATACTGACTGATTCACTTACGTCAAGCTTATTTAAGTTAAATTATAAATTGCATTCTTTCTTTTCAATGTTTTCTTTTCCTTTATGCTTCTAATCATGTCATTACTACTCCATATTTTTTTCCAAATGTAAAAAACCTACCCCTAGGATGACAGAATGATTTAGTTTTCTCATTTTTCTAGCCACAGAGTAATTATACCTTCATTCCAGCAGCCTACTTCTGCTGCTCAACCCTATTGCCAACATTTGCCAGTTGAGTGCACAAAACAAAAATCGTGGAAAGAAAGCAATAATGCATGCAACCAAACAATGGAGGGATCAGTACTGAATAGTCACGTAAGGAGCGCCTCAATCTTTTCAAATAAAATGAAGCCAGAGAGCAGCCCAACAATATGTTTTGCTGTAGCCATACTTGGACACAATCGTGAATGTATTTACTAACATTTCAGCTTCCCCGATACAGAATTATCATAACTCCTTGTGCAGAAGTACTAATCTCTGTGTTGCAAGGATACAAATGGAAGCACAAAATGAGCGTGTGCCTCAACAACAAGGGAGTGTTTGCAGCCGCCTGGCACGGCTGGAGCATCTCATTGGCCACTGATGATGTCATCCCCATGCTCACCAGTAGCTGATAAGCAAAATGCTGTCATGTTAGCAACACAGCATTTTGTGTGGCAATTGCAGGAAGACTGCTACACGTCTCGGGTGATACATGCCACTCAAACATCTACTGACTTTGCAACATAATCTGCAATAAGCTCTCAACTAGAAAGAAATTTCTGGTGAGGTCTCGTTATTTAACATACACCACCCAAGTCTGTCGTACAGAGTAAAGGCTCCGTTAGGCTCATCAATACATGAGAATACATTGCAGGGCTTCTCGTAAAATCAGCTGATGTGAATTCATGCAGCAAAGCCTTTTGTATACAAAGAATAATAAACCACTGTTGCCTCTGCTCTGAAGGAAATGCTTCCTCACAAACTTGCAGTCATACTCCACTAACAGATTTCTTCTGAGGTTGGGGGTGGGGCAATTAAATAAACCAAAATAACTTTTGAAGTTTCACATTCAGTGCCTGCTTAATGCAATCCCTGGAACAGCTGAGCAGATACTAATGATTGTTTTAAATGAATCTGAGTATTTGTGATTGCTCGTGCAACTTGCATGTCAGATGACAAGAGTAATAAAAATCGTATGTTTGTAATGATGTTCTGCTTCTGTGTCAAAATAAAACAAAGCACATAAGTATGTAAGTCACCCTGCTTGCTTTTAACACATGCTTTTTCTCCACTCAGACAACTGACAAGAGAACTTGAGAATACACGCACAACACATTCAAACTAGGGAAACAAATGCAGAGTTACACAGCAATAGAGAACATCAGTGGAGTCAGTAAAATATACAAAAGTTTGAGGGCAGACCCTCAAACGTTATTAACTGCCGGAATTGTCAGAAGCCCCAAATTCCTGCTCACAGCACATCGCTCACCCACAAATCTAACTGTGCCCTGTGGCAGTGAAGCAGACGGCAGCTCCCATTACACTGTTGGCTCCAGTGGAAAACACCATCACGCCCACCCTGCCCACGGGCCTGGGCCTGCCGCTGTCAGGTTCAGTTCTGCACAGTCAGCTCTACTAGGGCCCTGCTCTTTGAGCAAGAAGCCAAGACAAAGTTCATGCTTCTTTTTGCCACACTGGGCTCACTGCCTAATTCAAGACACCTACCTATTTGTCAACTAGAACAGACACACTGATTTTCTTCATCTCTCAGGTCTATATATCTTTTCTTAATTACACCTGTGTGATAAAACTCAACAGTTTCTTAAAAAAAACACATGCAAAACAAATTCTATAGAAGTGAAATAATGTTGGTGAATTAAGTCTGCCACCAGATAGTTTCCCAACACCCTCTGAAGGCAAGCACACCAATTCTTTCCTCTTTCATCACTGGCGCGTATAACCCAATTAATCATTTTTCAGTTGAGTTCTCTCCTTATTACAGCATCCTTTACCTCTCTAAAATTCCTCATGAATTTTGTCTACCCAAGGCCAATGTCAGGAAGTACTACTCCACAAAATTTCCACAAACCTTACTGCCAGTCAAGTTCCTTACAGAGCTCTTTTCACCTGAAAGAATATGTACTGAGAGGTTTGAGGATGTTTCCTCTCTTTCCCGGGAGTGCCATGCATACTGTAGTACATTCTAGTCCCAATCAGACCAGTAAACAATAGCATGGGAGACAAGATACCTACTGTCAGTTTAAGTGAAGTGACACACGGTATCCAAAGGTTATCTACCTAAGTAGCTCATTTAACAGTGGCCAGTGATGATGTGGTCTTTTTGTTTTGCAGTAAGGGAAAGGCTTCATCGTCTTTTTGACACTGAGGTATGTAGCCCCACAGACATCAATTTTTAGAGAGGAAAAGAACTGTTCTCCTATCCTGTAAGGGGTACAGAACTGTTGTTAAAGTCAGGAACACGGAAAGGAAGAGGAGGGAGGCCTAAAACTGGCACGCAGGCAGAAAAACACGTTGGAAACCAGGGGAAACATTTTGCAGTTGGCTAGCGTTCCACACACACCTCCTTACCTTGTTGATGTTTACAAGCAGCACAATGCTGCCTTCTCCAGGTTGAAGCTTCACACTGAATGTTTGCTGCGTTTTCAGTTTGGGAATGTTCACAGTCACAAGACCTGCAATTGGCTTGGAGCTGACTACATCAAAAATAGACTCAATTTCAAGACTCCACTGCTGAGCGCTCTTTACTAAGTGAAGGGGGAGAAAAAAAAAGGGAATTTAGGAATTGTGTTCATATACCTATTAGTTAACATGATTTCTCATCAAAGAAACAATTAAAACACCTCAGATTAAATTTAACAATTTTCAGGCCGTGTTTGAACCAGACCTACAATGTTAATCTTGTTTAATGCATTTGGTATCTGTGTTTACATTTGCTGACTCAGAAGAGAACTACACAATATAATTTATGCTTATAACTCTCTCTTTCTTTCATTCAAAAGCCATCCAGGCATTTTTCAGAATTCTGTACAAAAATCCGAGACCATGACACCAAGTCACTTCATTAGGAAGGATTTTATTCCCACCAACTCCCATAGACATTGTATTTGCTTTTAGTCAGCACTCATATGAACATGGTACTCTTTGGGAAAGATTGTAATCACACAGCAGTACAATCACTTTTGTTGATGAAACAAAAACAGTATTAACAGAAAATGAGCCGAATTCATCCCAGAGTCACTAGACAAAATGAATGGAGTTATGCTGGGGATGAATTGGGCCCATTGTGTCTAGAATTGACGGGCAGTATCTTTTCGTCCCTTCTGCCACCAAAGTGTGGTGGAGGAAACAAGTTAATGACTTTGCTGAGATCTCTCTACAGTTATCTCAGAGAGTGCTCTCCTTTACAGAACTTACTGAGTAAGGCAAGCCAGGGTCAAGGATACGCAAGATTAACGTGTAAATTTCCCATTAATTTCAGCAATTAAATTGCCTACCTACAAACATAGACTGGCTAATCCTATACTTCAAATATTACAGATGAACATCTAACTAGGCAAAAGCAAATAAAACAGAAAACAAGAAAAACTAGAACTAAGACACATTTTGTATACACAAACTACTAATCACTTTCTTTCTTTCTTCATGTATATATACTCTAGCTCTCCTTCCTC